ATTATGTACTGTCCTGCTTTGTCTCTTATTATAGCCTTCATTTTTATGTTGTTGTTTTTTATGGTTTTTGTGGGGGTTTTTTTCAATATAAGTATTTCAACCCCAGCTTCTACTTTTTTGTTACCATGTCCATGAAATATTATTTACCATCACTTTGTTTTCAGTCTATGTGTCTTTTGATCTGAAGTGGGTCTGCTGTAAACAGCATACATATGGGTCTCGTTTTCTTATCCACTCAGCTACCCTATGTCTTTTGATTGGAGCATTTAATCCATTTACATTTAAAGTGATTATTATTGACTAGAGGCCCAGTATACAATCAGGGCCAATTGGGGCCTTCCAGCTGCCAGCCAGGGCCTCCCTTTCCCAGCTGCTGGCTGGGGCCTTCCTTCATTCCAGGCCGCTCCCTGGTGGTCAGCGCATGTCATAGCGAGCAATCGAACTTCCACAGGGACACTTTGCATATTAGCCTTTTACATATATAGACTAGAGGCCCGGTGCACAAAATTTGTGCACTTGGGAGGGTCCCTCAGCCCAGCCTGCACACTCTCAAAGTCCAGGAGCCCTTGGGGGATGTCCGACTGACGGCTTAGGCCCTGCTCCCTCCAGCAGTCGGACATCCTTATTTCTGCCGTGGAGGTGGGAGAGGCTCCCACCACCACCACTGTGCTCGTCAGCCATGAGCCTGGCTTCTGGCTGAGTGGTGCTGCCCCTGTGGGAGTGCACTGATCACCAGGGGGCAGCTCCTGCATTGAGCATCTGCCCCTTGACGGTCAGTGCGCGTCAGAGCAACCGGTCGTTCCACCGTTCGGTTGATTTGCATTATTAGCCTTTTATTATATAGGACAGATATGCAGTTGTTGCCATTTTGTTATTCATATGTTCCTCTTTTTTCTTTCTTCTTAAAGAAGTCCCTTTAACATTTCTTATGATACTGGTTTGGTGATGATGAGCTCCTTTAGCTTTTTCTTGTCAGGAAAGCTCTTTATTTCTCATTCAATTTTAAATGATAGCCTTGCTGGGTAGTCTCAGTTGTAGGTCCTTGCTTTTCACCACTTTGAATAATTTGTGTCAATCTCTTCTGGCCTGAAAACGTTTCTGTTAAGAAATCAGCTGACAGTCTTATTTGAGCTCCTGCATCCTAAATAACTGCCATGTGAGGACACAACATGATGGTGTGTATGTACCAGGAAGTGAATATCCACCTGACACCAAATGCACTGAACTTCCAGCCTCCAAAACTATGAGAAATAATATTTCTGCTGTTTATAAACTACCCATTCTATGGGTTGTTTTTGTTTTTTTTTTGTTAGTAGCCTGAATAGACTAAGACAGGAAGTTATCACTATTCATGTGATTATATAACAAATTCATGAAATTCATAAGCCTAAGTTCATAAGACACTTAAGTGTAATATTTATATAAGTAAAACCACTATACATAATTTAACAGTCAGTAAATCATTTTATTTGCTGAAAAGGGTTGCCCTTGAAATCAAGGTCCATTCCAGTGAAATTCCAGGAAAGACATCAGCCAGACTATAGAAATAGTTACCATGCATTTGTAAACATTTCTGAGTGCCCATTGTGTGCTGGGCATTCTGACAGCATAGGGTGTAATGAGTTGAACTATGACCCTCCCCAAAATTCATTCATATGTTAAATTTTTAACCCCCAGCATTTCAGAATGTGACGTTATTTGGAGGTAGGGTCTTTACAGAGTTAATCAAGTTAAAGTGAGGTCTTTAGGGTGACCCCTAATCTGACAGGTTTTTTTATAAAAGGAAGAAATTTGGACACAGAAACACATTCAGAGAGGAATGACAATGTGAAGAGACACGTGGAGAAGACAGCCACCTACAAGCAAAGGAAAGAAGCCTGGAGAAGATTCTAAAAGGAACCAACTTTTTCAATACCTTCATTTTAAACTTCTAGCCTCCAAAACTATGAGATATTAAGTTTTTGATGTCCAAACCACCTACTTTGTGGTATTTTATTATGGTAGCCCAAACAAACTAATATACCTAGCATACAAAGATGAGCAACAGAGAAGAGTCTGCTTTTAAGAAACCCATGATCCACTGAGGAGAAAACCAGGCCAATATATAATTTTTAAATTTAGTAATGCATCTCAAGGAGTAAGAGATTTCTGACCTCAATAAAAATATTTCTGCGGTATATTTCAGGAAAAAAATAAGTACTATTTCCTGTTTACTTCATAGTTTCATTTTGTTTGGTAAACAGATTTTTTTTTAAGTTCTGCTTTTTAAAAAAAATTGCTATCTACACAGGTTCCAGTCTCTTAATTTTAAGTTTTTATCTTTTTCCATCTCTCCTGAACCTCTGCCAAGAGCCTTTGCTAATATTCATCCGCTTTCTTCTCTCATCTTCTCATCTTCTTCATTTCCTCCCATTTTAATCTTCTCTGGTTCCCACTGTCTTTTTTTTTTTTGCACACTTTGCAAAAATTTGTTCTCCCACTTCTACTTCCCAGCTCTGATAAAAATATTGCTTCCACACCCTAAAATTTCTGTTAATAGCTTGTCTATAATACTTAAGATGCTATTTTTAAAATGAGCCAGTTCTAAGAAATACCTTGAGTCTATTTTATCAATTTCTTTTGTTGAATTATCACTACTTTCTTGCTTTAATAAGCTTCTTATGTGCTGGAAGTAAAGTAATTATCCTCTATAATAAAGAGCTAATATGCAAATGGTTGTCACGCCATCACACAGT